TGATTTACCCTGATTTTGAAGTGTATTTTTTTTCTATAAATGGGATGAGTATTTTTTTTAACAAGTAGGACAAATCTGTAGTGTGAATTTTCATTTGGTATCGATCGAATCTCTGATACAATTACTTGATGAATATCTTAATTTTTATCTAAAAAACGACAGATAGATAGTCGAAAAAAAACTAAAAAGATAATAGATAAGATAATAGATACTATCTATCTTATCTTATCTTAATATCTTATCTGAGATAGATATCTTAACCAAACGCTGCTCCGATGGTCAAGGCAACAGCCTGATTAACAGGGCAACCGAAAATATTTATTTAAATAAAATATATTTAAATAAATATGTTGGCCATTTTTGAAAATAAATAAATATTTCCCAATTTTCGAGTTTTTCGTAAATATTTTAAGGTTTTTGACGTCTTTTCAGAAATATTTTTGAGTATTTTCCAAGCAATGATAAATATTTTAGATGTAGGTAACATAAATTTTGCAATAGAACATGAGTCATATTTTAAGACAAAACATTGCAAATGCACTTTGCACGTCTCTACATGACTTTGCAAATCAAAGATAATGAAATTATATCGAATTGTCATGGTTGATCAAAACCAAAAGTTGCAATTCTGCAATATGTGCTATTTCGACAGTATTCAGTGTATACATTACTGTGTAGACGTTTACACATTTTATTTATCAGCTGATCGAACGATCGCTTGCATTTGCAAATGTGTAGTCATCAAATAATATGTGAATATTAACGTTCTCGCGCACTAATAACTAATTGCTTCGAACGACTCGATTTGGCACTTTGAATTTCGTTCTCATTTGGAGACTGAAATAGACGCGTTCAAATTTGCTCCAATTACGTCAACCGATGTCGAACGTTCATTTTCCATGTATTACAAGAATGTATTGCGTGACAGTCGACGTTCATTCCTTTTTGAAAATTTAGCTAAACACGTTATCATTTTCTGTAACAACTTCGAATAATACTTAACTGTCGAAAATGTCA